GCAGCTAGAAACCTGGAACAAGCCTCCACAAGTGAGACAGCGTTGCAGGTGACTAATGCTAATAAATAACATTTAATACTTTTCATTTCACATAAGCCAAAGTGCTATGCATATCATATGGCTGTTACTGAATATATGTCACCAGCTCTTACAGCTGTTGCACAATTTTTGTAGCAAATAAGCCTAAATAAGAGGGCTATGTTCTGACAAAGGAACATATATAAAATATCGGTATCGGTAATCGGCCAAATAAGTTTTAACATATCGGAATATCGGATATTGGCAAAAAATCTAATATTGTGCATCCCTACTCCATTGGCACCAGAGCTGCAACCTGCAGATTGGTACCACTAAAGTCCACAACACAGCAAGTGTAAAGACTGCATGTTTGTCTATATATAACAAACGGTATGGGGTAAAAATGAAGCAGCTGTCAGTATTTGCTGACTAAACAGCTGATGTCTTCTGGCAGAAAAGTCGTCACTGATTTGCATTGTAGTCACACCTCTAATCACACAAAACAAATGGCCTACACTTATTCTATAATGTTTCAAATTAATATTTGGTACTAATAGGCTCACACAAACACACACATACTGTATATCGTAGCTTCTTTCTGGGGAGATGTGCAAGTTAGGCCTGGACTTTAAACGCTCGTTGCCATCCTTTATAGAACGGTAACATGTTTGTTGCGTGTTGATTTTACTGAAGGCCAACGATGATGGAAAAATTCAATATAATTATAAAACATTTGATCTGAAATGAAACATATATTCTAAAGTAAAAAATAACACCCAGACATAAATTGTAGGGGTTGATCAGGATCTGATTTAAGGGACGGATTGAGTGGTTAAGAATGTGACAAGAACTTGACCAGGCTCCAGATATCCAGTTACTGTCTGACTGTGTGTGCATGTTTGTGTGTGTGATTGTGTGCGATACGAGGAGGGCCTGTCACCACACACTGATGTGTTTATTTCAGTGCAGCTGGGGTAATCGCTCACACAAAGCGACAGACGCAGACAGACAGAAAGACAGACATACCCCCCCCCCCCCACACACACACACACACACATCCATAACTCCACCTGCCATCTGCAGTCCACCGACTCTGCTTGACCTCAGGGGTCATGCCGACTCTTTTAAGTGATAAGATATATGTATTCCTGCTGTCATTTTGTTGCCTTCATGTCTTAATGGTCCTCACAACATTTGTGGGGGAAAGTGTACACAGGGACTTACTGTGGCTCAGATCCAAGCTTTACACAGCTGCTTACTTTCAGCCTGGTTGCTCATGAACTTCATATTTTGAAAACTGATTTGGAACATGTATGAACGGAAAAAAAAAAGAAGTGAAATAATCCAGAGTGGGAATTTGTTTTTAAATTAAAAGTAGACATTTCGATGCACCTGTTGCAAGTTCACTGATTTTCCAGACGTGTGTCCGGACAGACTTTCCCCGTTGAACTCTTGAACCCTCTGTTCTGAATCCTAAAGCTTTCCATCAGGTTTTAAAGGCTTTTTATCGCAGCTTGAAGAGATTTGAATGCATCTGAAAGGTTTCACAATGCCTCAGATTGTCTCTCAAAGGAGGTTCAGAGTGAAAGTGAGGGGAAACAAAGCTTGTAGAAGAGAACACGGGCAGTTCTGTCAGCAGAGAGTGAAAAAGAGGTAATGATGTGTAGGTGTGTAGACATTTTCTTTGGTCTCTGAGATTAGTTTGACCCTGACCTCTCAAGGCTCACAGTTGGGAAGCAGTTAAAATAGTTGCAGGACATTTACTTTTTCTTACACTACATACATAGAAAAATGTTACATACTTACAGCTCATGAGATAAAGTGAAGAACAAACATCCAATGATACATGTGTATAAACTGTTACATGTTTTATGAGCGTAGATTGTAAGTGTTTGTTTGGGACGCTCAGGGCTTTGGCTCAGTATGTTGACAGCCGTGGGCCAACTGGACAGTAAAATATGAGTATCACATATCAGGGCAACAACCCCATCACATTGACAACTTTATGGCCGTCGTCAACAAGTCGACGTGGCAACCACAGCCACTAATATTAGAACGCTTTAGGAGCAGACACCAGCAACAAGACGTGTCAGTCAAACGCTGCACGTCAAATAAGCCAATGGCTTGAAAAGCAAAGAAAGAAAGAAAAAACTGAGAGGTCAACAAAAAAAAAAAAGCTACAAGATAAAGAAATAGACAAAAAAATACAAATCTGAGAAAATAATAAAGAGGTTCTGGGTTACAACCTGAGGCTTCCAGCTGGTTTTAAGCCTCAAATCTTTCTAAAAGCCTCAGCAGACAAAGACAGATCAATCTGTTTTCTCAAGATCCCATTATGACAGGAGTAAAAGGATGGAAAAAGGTAGCAAACTGGAAGAGTAGCTCTGATTACTGTGTGCGTGTTTGTGTGTGTGCACTTTGACACATATAAATGTAAATAACATAAAAAAAAACACACGTTGTGAAAACATTCCTGATATTTGTGTGTGAATGTTGCAATGCAGCGGTAACCATTTTATTTGCTTAATTTTCCAATTGAAGAACGAGAGGTATGCACATGGTAAAAAAAAAAAAATCTCATCCTTCCATTTCTACTCCACCTTCATCTAAGCGTTTCTTCTTCACTCGCTCTCAATTTATATGCCGTATCGCCTCCTCTATTCTCTCCCAAGGGAGCTGTGTACTTAAGTGCAATTGCAAACGACTATCAAACCCTAAGGAGGGAAACTTGATTCAGAGACTCCCTGTCTGGTAGTACACTCTTCTGAAAGTGCAGCTTTCTCACAGACCTCCTCAGGGTAAAGCAGTCTTTGGTCATTGCTTTTCCCCTGCGGCCAATTCAATGAAATTATGTATTTTCAAAGGTTCAAGTGGTTACTCAGCTAGAAAAATCCAAGAGTATAAAATTCTATCTGAATTGCTGATGATTTTCCTTTCATGAAGTTGAAGTGGCATATCTTTCAAAATAAAGGCTGATTTGCCAAGTTTAATGAGTGAATGAAATGTCAATGTGACTATTGAACATACATCTTACAGAGTAGTTGTGAATATGTATTAAACTGCAAAGCATTACTTGAAACGTAAATGTAAAAAGAGTCATTAAAGTTTTCAGGTCATCCATTCACAGCTTTGTTTCCTAAAGCTGTATTCATTTCCCTGGACACAGAAGAAGCTGAGTCACAACGCAGTACCGTGAAAAGATAATTGCCTCTCTTTTTGTTATTTTGGGCTGCGATCTGGAATCAAAATTTATGTTTTTGCAGGGATATTTTAATAATTTACCACAAGATGCAATGGTGTATAAATGTGTGTGTATGATGTGAGTAAGTTTTGCACATTCCAGATGAATGTGCAAAATTTATATAAATTATAAAACTAATCAAAACTAAGATTAAAAACTGAACCATCAGTTGATAATCATTTTTAATGATTATCTGTAATACTTGTCAAGGTCCCCACCTTGCATCAATTACAGCTGAAAGTCTCCAACAGTTTGTTTCTGGAAGTTTAGCACATAGCCACTGGGAGTGTAGCCTATTCCTCAAGGCAGAACTGCTCCAGTTTCTTGAGCTGGAAAGGTTCTGCTGTTGGACAGCTATCTTTAATCATGCCACAGAGTCTCAGTCAAACCGAGGTCTGGGCTGTTAATATTCCAAGACATAGAAATTGTTCCGCTTAAATAACTTGACTGTTACCTAAGTGGTGTGTGGGTTAGGGTCATGCCTATAGTTGAACATGTGTCTATTCTAATTTCTCTAGAAAACATTTTGGTCAAAGATTTGCATTTATTTTCTTAATTCTGACCTATTTTTCTAGGCTTGGCTCATTGTAAATATTGCCACAGCCTAATCCTGCCATCGCTGAGGATATTGTAGGGAATGGATATTTGTAGTGACAAAAAGTGTGGGATTTGTACAAGACCGTATTTTTTCTTGAAAGAGTCAGTTAAAATATAATGTGGTTTCAATTTGTGCAATGCATCTTCCATTCACATTTTTAAATGACTTGTGTTTTTTTGTGGAAGATAAAATGATCAGAGTTAAGCTCAAATGTATTAGATCTATAGCAAATCAAATATTTCTTGAATTTAAAAGTATCAATGCAACAAAACATGAAATACATTAAAGAAGGTGAATGCTTTTGTAATGCACATTACAGCCATATACATTAGATGAGTTACTAAGAAAAGGTGTGTGACATGTTTCCAGTCCTCATGGAGTCAATTTTCTGCAGAGCTCAAGTACAGCAAGGCAGCAGGCAATGAAGGGGTAAATAAAAAAATACATAGATAGATATACTTATAGGCTAAATCGCAGCAGTAGCTGGCAACTCCTCATGTAGGTTGTGCTCAAATTGGCTCTCTGGGGACATTTAAGTTTGAGTTCAAACTTCTGATCTTTTGATCATTGCAGCAGAACTCTCGGCTGGAAAAGGATTTAGGCTGTGCAAATCAACATTGTTATATCGAACGAAGCAATTATGTGCATTTCTAAAAACAAGTTGAAAGTACTTTAAAAAAATAAAAAACTTAAACCAAAATTGATTTTATCAGGTAACTTGAGCAAGTATTTAGGTTTACTTAATCTCAGTTTGGCACAAATATTATGTAAAATGCTCTGGAATTTTTTTGGTATGAATTGGAAATACATTATTAGGAGGAATCGGTGCTGTACTTTTCAGTCTTATTAAAAGTTATGGCATGGTGCTATATTTTAAGTCTGCTGACTCCTCAGCAAAGGCTAAGTTTGAGTGCTATGCACACCTATACAACATTCTGCCTTAGAATTTCAAAAAGTGACATTTCTAAGAAACTTTTGAGAGATTTCCACTTGATGATCTTTTCATGACTTTACACTTTCTTTTTGTTTTAATTCTGACGTGTTCCTGTCAACCACCCCCCTGCTCTCACTATTTCATTTATGTATGTATTTATTTACCAATCTTCACTTTAGCAATTCAGCCCCTGTAGAGATGACAAATACCTCAGCAGCTGGTATGCCCTCCGGAGGGCGACACTGTAACAGCACCTCCTGCTCCAGTGACACCTCCTTTCCAAGTGGTTCTTGTTCAAATGACTTCTTTAGGTCTGAGGAGAGAGACAAGAGTTTTATGAAGAGAGCCAAAGAGCAAAATTCAGGAACACGACATTCAAAAAGTGAATACTGATGTTAAGATGAGGGAATGTAGCTCAATGTACTGATGGTTCTGACTCTGCTTCATGTTGTGGTGTTCCACTGAGGTTAAGTAATGACACTGATATTATTTAGTGGTATAATAATGCATGTAACAACATAAATAAGAGAAACTCTTGATATATACGTCACTGTATTGTGATGCATTAATGTTAAACAAATACAGCACTATGAACGATTATTTTGGAGGCACATCAATATAAAATAATCTCATTATTTCAAAATTGGTGCAATAATCATATTAGTGATGATTTAGGTCAGTGATTATGTGATTTTTCTCACTCTTTAGTTCCCTACAAAACAAACAAACAAACAAAAAAAACACTTAGCTCCACTTTGTATGGACGTATGTGTCCACACTCATGTGTACATATTAACCACAGGGCGCTCCGAATGCACGTCCTTGTCTCCATCACCATGCACACAAAATTTAACCTTGCTTTCATTCTATACACATTTGCCAGAGTTCAGAGTTCTCCAGCATGCCAAAGACAATAAATGATTCACACAAATGGTTCCCATGCTGTGATAAATGACAACATTACAAAGCAGCATGGAATTCAGTGCCTTTTCTTTCACTCAGTGTTTCAGAGAGAGCTCAAATGGTTTGTTTTTTCCTACTGAATTCACATTAGGCAATTAATAAATAAAATAAAAAAAAATAAAAAAAAAATATATATATATATATATGTTATGGCAGCACAGTGGCGCAACTAGTACTGTAGAGCTGCTGCCTCTCAGCGAGAAGGTTGCTGGTTCAAATCCCGGTCTGGGGGCCTTCCTGGGTGGAATTTGCATGTTCTTTCTGTGCATGCGTGGGTTTTCTCCGAGTACTCCGGTTTCCTCCCACAGACCAAAAACATGCACGTTAGTTTGATTGGTAACTCTAAATTATCCCTAGGTGTGAGTGAGAGAGTGAATGGTTGTTTGTCTCGTTTGTCTCTATGTGTCCCTGTGATGGACTTGCGACCCATCCATGTTGTCCCCCGCCCCTCGCACAGTGATTGCTGGACATGGGCACCGGCGACCCCCGTGACCCAAAATGGAAGAAGCAGGTAAAAGATAATGTACTTTGTACGTATATATATATATATTTTTTTTTTTTTTCTTTTTTTTTTCATTTAGCCTTTATTTATCCAGGTTAGTCTCATTGAGCCACGAGAACTCATTTTCAAGAGAGACCTGTTTAGGGAGCACATGGTGGGGTTAAGGGCCTTGCTCATGGGCCCAGAGTGGGGCGAATGAGGGTGGGGGCAAGTATGGGTGTTTCACCTACCCCACCCACACTTTTTGATGTTGTCGGGGCGTGAACCGGCGATCCTCGGATCACAAGCCCACCTCTCTAACCTCTGCGCCACCACTCCCCTATATATATATATATATATATATATACACACACACACACACACACTGTATATATATCTCATTACACTTATAAAAATGTGACAGAAACCCAAAATAAATTACTAAATATATATAAATGGACCGAATAAAAACCACAAATTAATGGTTTGAACGAAGGGGCAGTTTTGCTTGTCTGATTATTATAGTCAATGTATTTTTTAACATTTTTCAGTGAAAGCATATTTATATGTTTACCATCAAGAAATGTCCAAATGTCAAATCTATAGTTGGTAAGGGACCGAGATGGTGTAGGGGCAGGGCAGCCGACTTGGGACCTGAAGGCCTTGTGTTCGATCCCTGGTCATTGCACATCTCGTGGTGTCTCTGAGCCGGACACCCAATCCCGATATGCTCCCCAGGTGCGTACATAGCTGCCCACCCCTCCATCTGGGTTTATCCCAGATGCAATGGGTTAAATGCAGAAAGCCAATTTCGTCTTTGTATGGGAACAATGACGACAACACATAGCACTTTATTATTAATGTTAAATTTTAATTTTTAAGATATTTTATAGGCTTTTTACTATTTTTGATTTTGACATACTCTTTAAACTTTATTCTACCATTCAAGCCTGGAAAATGTCCACTTTAATTGTACGGTAAATTACATTGTGTATTTGTGTGTGTATTGAAATCCATATGAAAGTTTAAAAAAAGAAAGGTCTTCTGTCCTCTTCCGTTTGAATACTGTATAAAAAACTTTCAGGACCCAGTTTGAGTTGCACGTGCAACCTTGTGTCCTTCTACTCCTCTGCTTCCCAGGCGAACTCTTAATCACCTTCTCTGTCAGCTGCAGTTCCCGGTGTCTCGACACACACAAACACAGACGAGACAGAAGATTCTTTTGTATTTTTGTTGAACTGGATGACACAGAGTTGCACCCTGGGGATTTTATCAGGATGGTCAGTGCACAGAAACTAAAAGATGCAGAGGGTGTCAGGGTATAGGAGAGGGGCAGTTAAAGGAGAGGGAGAGAAAGGAAAAGGTTGAAGCTGAAAGATGAAAGAAATGCAGACAGTGACTGCAAAAAGTAACACCTTGTTTTTAGTACTGAAACCCAAAGTATAAAATAATTCCTGGTTCTTTGTACTGTCTACTCAAGGAGCCAGACTTTTCCTAAAGTGGTCTTTGTCAATAGCTCTTCAAGTTTTCTAAAGGTCTTTCAGAGTTTTATTATCATTATTTTTTTATTATCTTATTATTATTCCACACACATTAGGATGAACTCCAACAAAGTTAAGTCAGGTCATCTGGACAGTTTCGTTTTTTTGTTGTTGAAACATTTCATCCTTCATTCAAAGGACTTCATCAGTCCGAGGAGCCACATCAAACTCAGTCCCACAAGCAGCACACTCACATTGTGTTTTGATGCTGATAAGATTGTTTCTGGAGTCCGCCCTCTTCCCCATCAACTCCTCTGAGGCAACCATAGCCTAAGTGCTTATCACCATCAAAATGGTTGGCCCACTATATGAGTGTGCTGTTTGTGGGATTGAGTTTGTTGTGGCTTCTCAGACTGATGAAGTCCTTTGGATGAAGGACGAAACGTTTCAACAACAAAAAAAAAAAGTTCACATGAGCTGACTTAACTTTGTTGGATTTTTTTTACCTGGATTTTTGAGCATGAACTTTGATATTAAGATGAACTATCCAAGAGATGCTCTTCTGCCCAAATGCTTTTCTTCCTACATTCACACATATTTTTGATTCTACTTAAAATGTAGAAAACATCTCGTCATGGCCCTCGAGCCCCTTTCTGCATGCACACATGCTTAAAATCATGCAGTAAATATATCCTGATGCATGCACAATAATCCAGGTAGACAAATCCAAAAAAGTTAAGTCAGGTCCTCTGGACGGGTTCAACAAAACAAAACAAAAAATTGTAGAAACATTTCATCTTTCATCCGAAAGACTTCTTCAGTCATGCACTAAAGAAGTTGGAGCTTTTTACAAGCAAAAATACTGCAGCAACTTTGTCAGCAGATTTAACCACTTTTCAAACGGCTAAAAAAATATTTACCAAGAATGTTTTTGCATATGAACAGATTTGCGTGAAACATAGGCCATGTATTGCATGATGAAAATAATAAAATAAAATAGTTTGAAATGAAATGGAAGCTCTAAACCAGAGAAGGGTAAAAGACTTGAGAGACAGTAAGTCACATCTGATTCTTCATGCATGAGCGAGATGCTGCTGCCAACTGTACTGCTGTAATTCCATTATAAACATTCACAACGTGTTTAATACTTGAGTTTTCCTCTACAACTTCTCAACTATAAATCAACGTTTTATTTCATGCAACATAAATCTTCTCGTTATCCGTTTTGTGCGTACAGCCATACTGTTTAAGTGAGTTATGTGAGGACAGAGTTTTGCTGTGGCTGAATGATAACTTCATAACACAATCAATCCCCGTGGGGAACGGCAGCCTGAACAGAGCATGATGGTTCATTATGGGATTAATCGCCCAAAGCGTCAGTCCTAAACCCACCACATGGCCACCCGCTCATACATGGATGGATACTGAAAGACAATGGTGAAACGGTAGAGACAGCAAGATACTGTCACACAGAGAAAATGACAGGAAACACAGACTAACAGGCAGGTACCACAGTCAGTGGGGAGGATGAACTGACTTTCACAACAAATGTGCAACAACAACAACTGTAAACACGAGGAGACAGACTTCTCTGATGCCAAGCATTTCCAAGAACAATTTCCTGGTCTTAATTAGTTAGGGAGATGGAGAAATGAGGAGTTGGCTGAGAGTTGATTTCCATAAAGATTGGGAATGAAATTAAAGGAGATTAAAGCAAACTGCTTGGGGATGAACAGACACACACAATCACACACATTTGTAAGCCGCCGCCCCGTGGTGAACAGAATTTGCCAGTTGATAGCAAACATGCATATTTTTTTCCTGTAAGTCGCATTTCAAAGACAATGGAAGACTGTGACTTTGTGGTCATGACATTAAAGGCTCATCAAGTCAGTGGAAGGTTGTGTGTGTGTTTTTTTTTTTTTTTTTGTGCACATGTGCCCCGAGGGAAATGTGTACACGGGTAAGAAGCAAGATGTGCTCATTCACTGACCCCACTTCCCCCTCGAACCGCCAGAAGCACTATCCAGCTTCATAAATATTACCATAACCTAAATAAATTCTCTAAATGTCCTCACAGAAGCACAGCACAATTGACAAGCACACACAGATCATGTGACGCGTCCTTCAGCGTGAACTCTTATTTACAACAAAAGCAGCGTCAGCATCAATCCAAAATGACCTCCTATTGCTGAAAACTCCACGTCGCCTCAAACATCCTTTATCTCCCTCTCTCGTTTTGCCTTTCTCCACCTTTTTCCGTCTCGGTCTCAAACGTCCACAGCGCAACTAAAATCGTTATCATGTTTGTGGTTATTTTGTTGCCTCAGGCACCTCTACATAAGCACATTTCAGAGTAATTATCCAAAATGGGTGTCTCTGCCTGCG